CGCTAAGAGAGCTGCAGCACTGGAGTGGAACCCTCTGGAGCCTAGAACACAAGGTGTGTTTGCTACAGAGGGCAGAGGTAGAGAAGTGACCTAAGCCCTTTGGAGAAGCCCAGAAGATGATGCGTGGCTCCAGATCCTAGACATTGGCCATTGACTTATTTATACTATTACAGTTTAATTTTGCTTGTCCCAGATTGTGACTGTGCCCTGGATCTCCCATCTTGAAGAAGGTATTTAATTCAATCTGAGCATTTGCAGGCGCCAACAGCTGAAAGAACTTTTAAAAGAGATTTTTGGATTGTTAGAGAGGTGGGATATTTTAAACAGATTGAAATTTTAATATGCTTTAATATGTAAAGGCTGTTAGACTTTTAAGGTTATTTTATGTTTTTAATGTGAGATCTTGGGAATGAATAAGAAAGGAAGGGTTGTAGCCCAATAGTGATGTGTCTGTGTTTCAAGTTGACAACAGGTCAGTTGTACTGGCTGGTTTTGTGTGTCAACTTGACACAAGTTAGAGTAATCAGAGAGGAAGGAGCCTCAGATGAGAAAATACCTCCATGAGATCCAGCTGTAAGACATTTTCTCAATTAGTGATCAATGAGAAAGGGTCCAGCTCATGGTGGGTGGTGCCATTACTGGGCTGATGGTCCTGGGTTCTGTAAAAAAGCAGGCTGAGCAAGCCATGGGAAGCAAGCCAGTAAGCAGCACACTTTCATAGTTGGTCTTTGTATTAGCTTCTGTTTCCAGGTTTCAGCCCTGTTTAGTTCCTGTCCTGACTTCCTCCAGTGATCTGGAAGTATCAGCCCAACAAACCCATTCCTCCCCAACTTGCTTTTTGGTCATGATGTTTGTTTGCAGTGATAAAACCCTAACAAAGACATCATTGTCATGCACACTTTTTTTTGATTGATCCTCTTCTGCCTTTCTTTTCTTCATAACCTTTCATGGTTAATACTTTCCTTACCAATCCACTTTCAGTATGTTTCATTCTAATTAACCTTCACTCATCCTTGAAACTTCTCTCTAACCATCTCATGGTTCTCTTTGTAGCTCCTACAACCTATATGTAAACATGTAGCCATAGATAGATGCAGATTGATGCTTCTAAAGCAGCAGATTTGCACCTGAATTCTCTGAAAAATCTTTATCCTTCTCCATATCCGTCCTCTATCCTGCTCTTTAAACCTTCCTGTTCCATTATATCCCCTTAATCTTTTATAGATGAGTTTCCTGTATTGTCTCAAAAAATTCTGGTATTATCTATATTTGATGAATTCATAGATGTCAAGGACTCTAGGGAAAATGGGCACAGCTCTAGCGGTGTGCAGAGCAATGACCAGGGTTAACACCTTAAGGAGGCCCGTATGTGATGACCAAGTATCTCATAACTTTGGAATACTTGTAAGAAGAATAGAGGTCTACTTCTAGTTCATTTATCAAAATGGAAACCTGAAAACATCACTTTGGAAAACCCATTTTCCAGGTAAATATTTGCAGAGCTGAATGGTAATATTCAGTATCTACCCTCAAGTGTATCAGATCTTGCCTTTGGTATCAGATCTCCTATGGCTCAGATTTGCAGATATAGTGCAGTTAGAAGTTGATGGATCGGGGTAGGTGTGACCATATTTTATAATATACATGCATTAAATTAAAAGGTTCAGAATTGCATACTTGATTGTAAGAATGCAATAGTTTAATATAAATTCATAGTGTAGAATTAATTATTAAATCAAGATTACAGTAGCAGTTATCATCATTGTCTAGACTGTGACCTTGAGATTTATTATCCCAATTGCCTTGTATCATCACTGCATATATTCACTCTGCTGCCACATATTTTGTGATATTTCTCCTGTCTAATTTAAAGATTAGATTTTTATGGCCATTAGCTTCTCACTTTCTACATAGCCCTGCAATTAGTAACTAATGTTTTCCATTCATTGTTTCTATGAGTGTGATATTTCCACATGTGAATGTCTTCCTATGGCTGTGTCTGTGTGTGTGCATTCGTGCATGTGTGTGTGTGTGTGTGTGTGTGTGTGTGATGTCTGGCAGATTTCATTTAGGTTAATATACTCCAGAACCATTCATCTGCTTGGCACTGGCAGAAATTTATTATTTTTAATGTTGAAATGGTATTTGGATATATATATATATATCTGTATTCCACATTTTTCTTGTTAAGGAACAAGAAAATTCAATCAAGCTACACTGAGGGTCAATTATATGTTTTTATTATTATGAATTATTATGATCTAGTAAATAAGTGCAGATATATTTTGGGCATATTTTCTTTCAGTTCTTTTGGGTATGTATGTATTGGTTCAAGGCTACTACAATAGCATATAGCCCAGAAGTTGTTCTGAGGACATCCACATGAGAGCTAATGTTTATACAATAGTTGTGCTGATATTCCCTGCCAGGAATAGTGTGAAAATTATTGTTAACCTGTGCATCTTCATCTAGTATCATCTTGTTTCTCTAATGATAGTCTTTTTAATAAAAGTGAGGTGGCCTCTCATCTGGGTTTTAATATTTATTTCTCTAGTGATTAGTGATGCCAAACATTGTTTCACTGACAACTGTCATTTGCACATCAGTCTATGAATAAATATGTCCAGGTTCTTTGGCATTGTTTTAATTGGGTTCCTTTCTATGTTTTTCTGTATTGTCTTATTTCCTACTATAATTAGGATGCTGCACACTTATTAGATATATGAATTACTTACTTTTCACTAGTTTCTGGCAGTCTTCTTACTCCGTTTTCTCCTTTCTTGTGCAAAAACATTTTTAGTTTGCTATATGCTCATATGCTTATTTTTGCTACAATTGCCTATTCTATTTGCCTCATATTCATAGAATTGTCTTTCTGAGCAGTGTTGTAGAGATTTTGTACCAAATTCTTTCTTGTTTTATAGTCTGAGTTTCACATTGACATCTTCAACCCATTATTTGTTGATTTTTGTATGTAATATGAGACAACAGACTGAAACTGAAGCCTAGGATTTTTATATGTGTGTGTGTGTGTGTGTGTGTGTGTGTGTATGTATATATATATATATATATATATATATGATACAACAAGGGTGTTAATTGGAAAACTATTAGATCCTAATGCTAGACTTGAAGTAGGTGAGTTATTCTGTATCTACGTTATTAACTCTGTGGTTGAGTTTACAAAGGCTTCTTAAAGTCTTTGTACCTTCAAAAAGATCTGCCTTTACATTGATCTTTCTGAGACTAGAAACTTCAAACTCCTAAACTTAGGTATAGGTTTAGATTTTTCAAAACCTGCTTTAATAAGTGTTTTTAAATGTGCCAACCTCCCTTCTAGCCCATCATCCGGAGGTAGTAGAAAAGAAGGGAAATGTTCTTTGTGGTTATTACATTCTTCTTTGTCAGCAGTCCAGTACATCATCATTCACGAATCGGCAACAGCAGTTTGATCCAGAATAAACTATAATCAATTGGCCTGAGTCAGCCAGTGAAAGGCACAAGAAACCACTGGAATATCACAAGGTCTTTGGTGAGTTACTCTCTACAAAGGCACAATAAGCAAAGATCAGCAACATAATGGAAGACGAACCAATACAAGAGTTTTGGCAGCCAAGGCTGGCTAAATGCAACAAGACTAACCAATGCCAGAGCCGCCTCCTACTGTCTGTGGGGTCATAACTATATTCTTTCTAAACATCATGTGTCTTCTCACACATCTGGTTCAGTGAAACATCCTCTCACCTGTATCTGCTAGAGTAAAACATTCTTTTCTATGTCTGCTTCAGGAAAATATCCTTTCACCTGTGTGCCCCAACAAAGCATCATATGACATAATTGAGTTTCCAATGAAACAGAAATTTCCACTTCACTTAGGCCTCTGGAATCAACGTCTAAACACTTCTAAGGAAACCTACCTTTCTTTGGCTATGGAAATGGTGATGGCCACTTTTAGGCAAAGTCCTTGATTGTTTCTAGGTTTTCTTAGGAACTCCCTAGCTCCTCCATACTTCAGTATGCATGGCGGCCCTGACTTCTAACTAGTGTATCGAGATGAATCACACAGTGTTACTTATGAGGATGTGCACTGTCTTCCAAAACAGCGTTTGTACTCCCTGATTCATAGAAGCTAATTTAGATATAATGTGTCAGAATGAATTTTAAGGTTGTAAGAATCCATCCCTGCAAATTTGGATCAGGTCAGATTTAATAACGTAGTTAGCGAGTGGATATTCTTTGACATTGTATCTTAGTGATGTAGAAAGGATTCATATTCTTTGTGTAGTTATTAGGATGGACATCCAAAGCTCAGCGTTTTCACTATTTAAGAAGTAGTCACTATTTTTAAAGTATCTGTTTTCCACTTCACATTAGTACACAGAATTACTTTCTGCTCAATGTCTCTGGAAGCCTGTTATGTATAAAGTCTTTACATATTCATGTGAGAAACAAGTTAGTAGATTAAAGGTATAAAACTATCAGTATCTCTGAAGAGTGTTGCCCTCATCTTTTTGTTGGTCCCAACTTGGGGTGGGAATACTGGCCAATGAATCCAGAAAACTAAATACAATGATTATAATTGGATCCAAAGATGGCAGGTACCTTGTGGCTACATGGAAACTACAAATATGAAGGAGGTGGCAGGGTGATTGTGATGGTTTGATTTGAACAAGCCCTGACTGCATAAACTAATTTAGGTAGCTCCTGCTCTGTCCTCTTGCCATTTAAGATGAATTGGAGTAAAGTGGTCCTCATTAGTACATTTCTTGGAAAAAATGAAATGGAATCATATTTGCTTATTTCATGGCCATATTTCTATTTGACAAGACAGAGATTTTGGACTGGTCTGTCCATCACTGCAGGTGCCCTTAAATAACCCACATTTTCTTAACTCAATACAGATCTACAGACAGCTCATTTTAGTATGAAGAAGCTACACCTCAGTGTGTTTTCCTTTATTACAGCAGGGGTTGCACATACTTCTTGCAAGTTCTGATGTATCAACAGTGTTTGTGGCAACACTTTCCTTTTCCTTCAAAACAGGTGCCAACTACCACATGAGAGCATGGGCATCTGGTCATGTGACAGGTGTCTTTGTTCTCAATGCATATGTTTGTGTCAAGGCGAGCAACTGCAAGAGAAGGAGAGAAAGACTTTCAAACTCTTGGCTGCAGCCGCAGTGGTCTTAGAATGTTTGAGGAAGTCACAAGAGTTCTACATAAAATACAATTTCTTTTTAAAAATCATTTAAAGAAAAAATCTCCACAATTGAGTTTTAGGACCTCTAATAGAAATCATATTTTTTTTTTCTGAAATCACTAACCAGAGAGATCCCCATTGCCATATAACTGTGGTTACTACATTAGAAAGCACAAATAGAGAATATTTTTTTTCTATTTATTTTGAGACAGGGTCTCAATCTATAAGCCTTATTGACTTGGAATTCATTATTTACATCAGGCTGGCTCTGAATCACAGAAAGACTCCTTTCTCACCCTCTTAGATGTTGGGAATGAAGGAAGAACATTCTCATCACCACAAACTCTTCAGTGTGACAGCGTTGCCATGGTGCTGGGAGGAATGGAGTGATGCTCTGCTTTCTCTGTCTCAGAACTTTCTCAGAGAAGCATCACAGCGTTAACCCGCTCACTTGCTAACAGTAAATCCATCTTCCTGAGTTCTGTCTCATAGCCTTTCTCTACATTTTATAGGTTCTTACTTTCATTGTGTATGATTGTTGAAAGAGCGATGCTCTAAATCTAATGTTGGCCTCTACAATGACCATCCCCAGTCAGACCTTCCAGAGGTTACCACTTCCAGGTTTTGTTTCCTTTTGTTATGCTGTGACTCTGAGAGGATGTTTTATGTGTTCTATGGTCCCTGGTGAAATATTTGCAGCTGATTGTCTGGTACTAGGAAGAGTAATAGAAATCAAGTTTTAAAAGGACATTGATGTGTTTGTTTTCTTAATGATATCATTAATCTAAGTACCGATATATATATTCCTCTTTGTTGTTGATCATTTTTAATAGTTCTTTTACATTTTCAGATTGACAAGATCTAAAGTCACTTGGAAGAAGGACCTCTTTTATACCTGTGGGAGATTCTCTTGATTGTGTTAATCCATATGGGATAACCCATTTGCCTGTGGATAGGACTATTTCCTGGGTAGGCATTATGAATCTTATAAAATGGAGAAAGAGAGGAAGCATGTACTCATTCATTGCTCTCTGACTTTGGACTGTGGCTTATTATAGTTTCCTTTCCAGTTGCCATGACGAAATATTCTGACAAAAACATGTTTTGCTGAGTTTAAAATCTAGTTTTCTGAAAAAAAAAAACCACTGGGAAGTTTCTTTGTTTCTTGGAAAGTTTGTGGACATCAGATGTCTTTCTATAGAGTTTAATCCATCAATTTTTAGCACAAGGGATAGATCTGTCTTACTGTTATGAAACTTGGGGTAAATGTTGATACTGCATTCAGAGGCCCTCAAAGTGTCGTGTCTCTCCTTCTCCTGATTCTATTTCCCTTCCATTCCTAAGCAGACGACTCAAATTTGTATGTAGAAGATGGGCCATTGATATTAGTCAACTGGAAATGAAGAAAGAAGTTCTTGTTAAGAGGTCACAATGGACAGCATTTGCAGCTTCCCTTGTCCTTCTAAGCAGTTGCCCTGGCCTGACCAATGGAAGGTTGCAGTGCTATTGTCTTACGTAGCTGGCATGTGGTCTCCAGATGGACTCTGAATGCAACTGTGTGAGGTTCTTGGTGAATATTTCAGAGGTCAGTGTTGAGAGCCAGGATGATCCAAGGATTTTTAACAGACTCTGATAACAGGGAAAGCTGTGTTCTTAACCAAAGTAAAGTCATCACTGGGGGCTGGGACTGGATCGTCAAAGAATCAAGACTTTGATCAGTCCCAAGGACACTGTGTGTTCAGTATGCGACACAGTTGAGATATTCTGCATTCTCTTTGTGCCACAATGATTGGTTAGCTTCCTGCTAACTTTTTTTCCATTTTATGATAGCTTTCTGCTGACTCTCCCATTTCCCTCCTGCAAACCATACATAAAGGCTATGCTTCTTAATAAAGTGTAGCATACGTCTTGGCATAAGGCATCAGCTCATGCAAAACCAATTGACCTGAAATTTTCTTTCTTCTTTGTTTCTCTCCAGTCCTCTACTGTCAGAAACCTGTAACTGAAGAATAGCCTGACCAGATCAGAGAGGTAGAAGAGAGGCCATCTGGTCATGGGAAAACTGCATGTTGAGGCACATAGAGATAAGGGAGGTGGAAATTGGAATCACAGACTCCTGTGTCCTGGAATATCCTCATCTTTGCCTCATTTTCAAGAGAGAAAATGGATCTAGCCTTAATGATACGTATATTCAGCCTTTAGGAAAAGGAAGAAAGGATTTGCAGATTTTAAAATCCCTCTGCTAGAGTCGTGTTAGTGAGAGAGGCAAACAATTTGCTAGCGAGAAAGCCAAATGGATCATCTTTTCAATTCTTGTTCACCGATTATTAGCCTGTAATTTTTCCCCAAATACATCAGTTTCTCAAAATGCCATTTTCCATTTTTCTGCAGTATTTAAAAACCTGTAGGGTTCTTCTAACTTTATGTGTGTGCGGCCTTTTGATTCCCACACCAAGCAATTCTTGAGGTTTTATTTTCTTGGATTTCATGATCCTCTCTGCACTGTCCTTTCAGCATTGTGTCAAATTCAAACCTCAAGGGTTCCCACAGGGCCAAATCCCAACTCATAGCTATTGGGCCTTGATCTACTGAGCACTGATTCTGTGATTGTGACTCCTTTTTTATTCTCAGGGACATTGTGAGGAATAAATTAAAACGCAAGCTCTTGTACTTCATTTTAAGTCTGTGCTTCCTACACATGGCCTTCAAGACAAGCATCATCTCTCGCCAAGTTACCTAATCTAAGACATCAAGTTCATATTCCCCATTAGTCAGGTGTATTGCAGTCCTGTGTTAAATGATCCAGTGAAAGGTCGTTAAGGAGTGGGTGCCTGTCTCCCGATAGAAATCTGGCCTTTATTGAGCCGTGCCTTCTTGAGGATAAAGAAAAACAGTTTCTACCAAGAAAATTTTCTAGATGACCATGAAAAGCAGGAGGTTAAAGATCTTGGAAATCTCTATTACTAGCTATTCACTCTGGCCAGGCTCATAGCCTGATATCTAGGACACAGGCTGAAGCCCTGGACGCCAGGTAGCTACAGGTTTTTGAGCCTTGGAGTTATGTTCCGCTATCACTCCTCAGATTCCAAACTCACTTTTCACCTGTTCTATAACCCAGTGTTCCCAGCTCTGGTGAGGGGTTCAGCAGGTCTTGGTACTTACCTGGGTTGTTTTGGAAGCAGGATAGAGAGAGGATCAGCAGCAGAAAGCAGGAGATCTTCATGATTGCTGCACACGAAGCTGATTAAAGACAAGGCCAGAGCTGGAAAGCTCAGCTCAGAGATGAACCCAGAACACAGAGTGCATCTGTAGTAATAGAGAGGCGGGAATAAGTAACCTTAAAGTTGACCTTTAAGAGAGAGGTGGCAATCTGAAGTAACACTCCAATAGCTAAGCTCTACGGTGTTTATCCTGAGGGTATCTCAAATCCTGAGGACATTCTACATCTTTCACCTGCGCCTACATTTTGCTCTCATCCTGGAAATGCTAATTACCTCTTGTCTAAACAGGAATCATAAATGCTCCATAGGAAACACACATTTTTTTTTTAAAAAGTAGTTATTGCCAAGATTTTTAAACTTATACTAATCACACATTGGTTGGTTTCACTCATAGTTTTTTCCCTGGTATATTTATAGTGCAGGACATGGATAGGAGGCAGAGGGAGAGGTCTTCCCAAGACTTTCATGTTATTATGATGTAAATGTCACCATTTAAGAAATATTGAGGATACATCATAAACTTTTAGAGGAAAGTAGTCATGAAATCGTTCCTGTATACCAAGAATTTGCTACAAACATACCATTCTAAACCCTGGCCAGAGCCAAGTAAATGGAGGCTGGAAATGATCCCGGCTCCTGTCTGTCTTTCTGTCAGCCCTTGTCAGTCTGCTTTCACCGACACACAACTGTTTATACTCTTCAACCTCTGGGGACAGCACTAGACAGTTATCACAGACATTTAAATAACGAGCAAAATGCTAATACCAAATATTGAATTATTTATTTTTTTGATTTTTGGGTAGGGTACTTTTTACAAGCTCAGGTGTTAAGCTGTTGATATTGTACAATGTCACCCATCATTATAGATGACTCTAAGTCATTTAATGCTGTTTGTTCCTGAATATAAATGTTCTCTGTGCTACAAATGCAGGGATCTCCTCACACACACAGAGCAGACAGGAAGGGGGCTATGTTATCTGATTTGAAGGCCTACTTCTGGTACCATCTCTTTTCCAGTGAACCTCTCTTTCCTAACTGCTGGCCTTATAGGCTACTGGATACATCATAATACAAAATCTACTCATTCCAGCTTCAAACCTCTTTATACTGTTTAATACTGCTTGCATTGTTCAAAAGTCCAATATTCATGTTTTTGTTGAGATTCAAATCAATCTCTAAAGTATGAATCTATGTAACAGAATAAAAACAAATGACACCACAAAGTTCAATGGTAGTGGATAAGTGCTCCATTTCTAGAAGGAAAGAGTGCTAAAGAAAAATGCAACCTCAGCTTCATTTAGTGAACTTAGGAACTTAATGGAGCCTGGGGGATAGGAAAACCAGTCGTTGTCACAACAGGTGAAAAAGGACTTCCTCGTGTTATTGGGGCCTGCCACCGCCAAAGCTTCTAGCCCGCTGGAACTATAGGGTCCCGAATGTGGGACCCACCACAGCGTGGAAGCCTCTAAAATTTTCCCCACATTTTGGCACCCAACGTGGGGCACAGACACCCACAGACTTCAAGAACTGGGCCACTCCAGTCTGCTACAGAACACAGCCGAGCTTCCTGCCCTGGTTGTCCGGTGCTGTGAGGAATCAACTCAGTGAAGATTCTGTGCTTCTCCCATGCTGACTAAAGCTGCAGCTGCTTAATCTCTCACTTGGAAGATCTCTGCGTTCCAGTCACGAGGACCCACATCTTCAAGCAAGCTGGCCAGGCCGCCGAGTCTGCTAAGCAAGTACAGTCTCTCCCACGGGTGCTGCTAGGGCCTCTTTCTTCTTCCCCTATCCCTCTCCTTTTCTCGGCTGTGGGTTATCTGACATGAACCCACATGCCCCCGTCTCAGTCCTGAGAGCCAAGGGCTTGAGACCAGTTGGTCCCTGGCTGCCTCAGAACACAGGGATCCCCAATCCCTCTCATTTTTCTCGGCAGTGGGTTGTCCGACGTGAGCCCACATGCCCCTGTCTCGGTCCTGAGAACCAAGGACTTGAGACCAGTCAGTCTCCGGCCAACTTCTGGCCCAGAGATCCCCAGTCCAAGCCTAGTCCCCAAGACTAGGCGGGTCTCTCTATCCTTTCTCCCTCTTTCTCTCTCCACGTGTTTCGGGCCAATGTTTTCTCTCTAAATCTTAACTACCACTAGCTCCTACCTGGCTCAAAAGACTAGGTCTCTCTCTCCCTCTTCTCCACGTGTTCCCTACAAAATGGCGGAGACTCCTTAATCTCCATTCTTTACCCCTCCCCCCCCAAAATCTCCCGCACTCTGCCTGCCAAGAGGTTTGCCCCTCCCCCAGGGGTTAACTTTTCATGCTCTGCCTACTAGCCTAGTATAAAATTCCCCCACTCCTCTGCCATTTGCGGCTGGCTGGTTACAGCCCAGCTGAATTGCCTGTAACAACAGGGTTGGCTCCTTGTTTACCCCCTCCCCCACTTCACCTTCTAGGTCATTTGCGGCCAACTATAGCTCAGCTGGCTTGTCTGGTAGCAGAGGGTCTGAGACTCAATCTGCACCACTTCGCCTCTGTTTACCTTACAGTTTCTTTCTCACAACTAAAAACTCCAGGCTGAGCCTAGAGAAACTGCCGCTGCCTGTCCTCCCCTCCCCCTCTGACTGAGAACAGTGAGCTGCTGACTCTAGGTGCTAGCCTCCAGGTGTCTCCCCGCCATGACTCAGTTTCACACAAGCCTTTCATTCCTTCTAACTTTCCTATTAATTCCTTCTAACTTTCCATATTAATTGCTTTGAGCTTTTCTTCAAAGTTAGCCTTTCTTTTCTCTAAGAAAAACAACAGGCAGAATTCCTTGGCCTCTCTGCTAGAACATCCAGCCACCACGTGGTAGCCCAACCACCACATGGAAGAACAGGCCTCTCCTCCACTACTTCTAAATCCGCCATTAATGCCTTTTCCCCTAACAGGAATGCCTAAAACAACAGTGTTTGTGCTTTTCAACCCAAAATTTTTTGCTTTTTGTTTAAATGTCTCCTTTTCACTCATTATATATTCCCAACATTTTTTTTTCAACTTTTAAAATTTCTTCAAGGTTTGAAAGTCATCTAAATCTACTTCCACAGGTTAAATCAACATGCTGATCACCATCTTCCAGCTCTTAATTAACAACTAGTTTCCTTTTACAGACAAACTGTTGCTGCCTACATAATTAATATGATTTTCTTCCTCAGTCAGCTAAAACAGACTCAAAGGTGACTTCTAAGACTAAAATTTCCTCAAACACCTTTGCTTTCTAGAATCTCAACGACACACCATGACATGCCTGATCCCAAGTAGCCTAATGCTTACTACATACCCTTTACAGACATCCCCCTGCTTGGGTGCTGCTTCCCTGTTGTGATTATTCTACAGGTGCTCCCACAAGTCCAGCAGAGACTTGTGGAGCCTCCTGGAACCTGCCTAAGATGCCATGCTGTCTTCTTACAGCCGCAACACCTGACTGCAGATTCCAGAGACACGCTGAGATCCAGAGACGCATGCCAAGATCCAGAGATGCTCACTGAACCCTATGGACAGATTCAGACCTTCCAGCTATAAATGGACTCTTTTGCCAAAGTCAAATAGCTAAAGTTACATGTTAGTGAGGAAAACGTAATGTCTATCTAGATTAGTCAGATATTACTACCCTCAAACTGTACCACATAAATTCAAATGATTCGATGATCCCTTGCCTTCCCTACCCCCCCCCCCAACTCCCCTTACCCTGTGACTTAATGGTGCTAACCCCTCTGGCCTACATAGTGCTTTCTTTTGACTTCCTCATTCAAAATTTTCAGTGACCCCCCTTTTTTAAAAAAGTAAAGGGGAGGAGATGTGGGACTGTGTAAGGGTATTCTGGGTCATGGTTGAGCAGGTGTCTAGAACCCGGAGACTCTGTAGACTCTTCGTGGGATTCTCCGTGAGAATCAGCAGGAGTTTGGCACTCCCCAGAATCCAGGATCCTGAAAAGCGGTCACGGTCTCCATAGAATTACATTGTTCAGTCACATAGGCCAGGCTATAGGCCTCAGGCCCTAGGGATTTACATACTAATGAAGGCCAGAGGGCAGAGCAAATTAAGCATGCCTCTCCCAGATCCTCCCCCAATCCTCCCCCTTTCTCCCTCCCTATATAGCTCAGGACTGCCCTGAGTTTTCGGGGGTACGCCTAGATCCACCTATCATCCGCCAAGACAATAAACCTTTTTGGAACCAAGGACTTCCTCGTGTTATTGGGGCCTGCCGCCGCCAAAGCCTCTAGCCCGCTGGAACTATAGGGTTCCTCCCAAATGTGGGACCCACCACAGCGTGGAAGCTCCTAAAATTTTCCCCACACATTCCCACTTTCTCTTCTATTAGATGCAGTATATCTGGTTTTATGTTGAGGTTCTTGATCTACTTGGACTTGAGCTTTGTACAAGGAAATAAAAATGGATCAATTTGCATTCTTCCACAAGCTGACTGCCAGTTAGACCAGCACCATTTGTTGAAGATGCTTTCTTTTTTCCACTGTATGGTTTTGGTTTCTTTGTCAAAGATCAAGTGACCATAGGTGTATGGGTTTATTTCTGGGTCTTCAGTTTTATTCCATTGATCTACCTGTTTGTCTCTGTACCAGTACCATGTGGTTTCTATCACTATTGCTCTGTAGTAGAGCTTGAGGTCAGAGACGGTGATGACCTCAGAAGTTCTTTTATTTTAACAATTGTTTTCACTATCCTGGGTCTTTCATTTTTCCAGATGAAGTTGGGAGTTGTTTTTTCAATATGTGTGAAGAACTGTTTTGGAATCTTGACGGGGATTGCATTGAATCTGTAGATTGCTTTTTGTAAGATGACCATTTTTACTCTGTTAATCCTACCAATCTATGAGCATGGGAGGTCTTTCTATCTTCTGAGATCTTCTTTGATTTCTTTTTTCAAGGATTTGAAGTTCTTGTTCTACAGAACTTTCACTTGGCTTGTTGGAGTTATACCAAGATATTTTATACTATTTGTGACTATTAAAGGGTGTT